CCCCCCCCCCCCCTCCCCCAAGAAAATGTTGCTGTGTGATGAAAAGATATTACATTGGCCATTTACAACATGTTTGGGGCACAGGGTTGTAGGGGTGATGGAAGCTCATGTGGCACATAACTCCTATCATAACCTTTATAATATAATAAACCCATTGAGCTGCAATGCACCCCAGTGCACAAAAAAAAAGTAGGTGCGCTGGGGCGCGTTGCGGCTCAATGGGTTAAGCCTGATAATTGCACCAATGGTTCTGGTGTCTCTGGTTTGGAGTTGAGTCACATTGTTTTGTTTTTCCCATCATTTTTGTACATATAATACATAATACATTTTTGTACATATAATACATAATTACAACATATAATATATTTTTGTTTATTCAAGAATTATCTCACAATTGGGACACCATAATCTGGCATTTGTCCTGACTCACTCTGGCTCTCCCATTGACAAGTAAAAAAGTAGGGCAGGCAAAATACAGTACAAGCAAGATGTATGGAAATTGAAGACACAAAAGCTGGATTAATTTTGAACTATTTTAATTGGACTTCTTCAATACAGTAAAATTATTAACAGTGAATAATTTTAAATTAACACTAAAATTATTGTAATTAAGTGTACATGATGTAGTGGGTGTATGTGTTAACTTAATTCAGGGGTGGATTAATAGGGGGGTGCACACCCCTGTTGGCCTTGTGCACCCCCTAGAAAAACCTTGCTGGATCCACCCCTGAAGGCTTTCAAGTAATACTGTAATAGCAGGCAGCGCAGTACTTATCATATCACATGAATAATTATCATATTTAATTGCACAGTTCCAGTATGTATAAACAAACACGAGCGCACAATGCATTGTAGTTGACAATGATCCTTTAATTAACATTAACTTGATAAAGGTTTATACTTTTATATGTTATCATCACCATCATAGACCGATTTTCAAATTTTGCTCGTGGAGTTGGGGTGTGGGTGCGCAGGAAAATTCAGGGGTGGAAAGTGAGCGAGGAGCACGTAGTGTGCTGAGTAAGATGCAGCAGAGTCTGAGGGTACAGTCACTAGTGGGGACAGAAAAAAAACAACAACAAAAAACATCTTGGAAAAAAACCCAAAAAAACATCTTGGAAGAAACTCTCTTTGAAAAGACACAAACTGTCATACTGTACTACACTGTGCAACAAACGACCTAGAAACTGCACCAAGTAATGAATCACTAGTCTCCAACATTCTAAATGTTGTTGAGATGATTAGTTAAAAACTCCCACAAAATTGTAAAATCATTGTATCCTCTCTCCTCCCTCGTTTAGACAAGCTACATCAGAATGTGGGCATCGTGAATCAACTAATTAAGGATAAACTCTTAAAGAAAGCCAATGTCCATTTTGTCACCCACAATAACCTTTTCCCTTCCAATACGCACCTACGTGACAATAAACACCTGAATAGAGCAGGATTTCTTATTTTCGCCAAAAACCTTAAGTCAACCTTTTACCATGTAAGAAAACCCAACCACACCTTATCAAATACACTGAATGAAGAAAACCAACAAACACATCACTTCAGACCTTCATATAGACCACTTACACCACCAAATGTCCTACAACCCCCAACTGAACCAGCCTTCCCAAACACATCTCAACCACCTGGATCCACCTTTCTACCATGAAGAATACCCCCCCCCCCCCC